CAATAGGTAAAACACTCTATTGTCGCTAGGCCCAGCCAAAAGTCTCTATTGAATATTAAAATGTGTAGCGGAATTTATGTACTTGCTTCGGAAGATTAATATTTGTCATCTGTGGTTATGAAAGAGACCCTTTACTTTACTAATACTTTACTTACTAATACTTTGGCTGCGCTGAATGACGATTTTAGCAATGTTTTATGCATTGTGATTCTGAATTTACAGATAATGTTTGCTCTAGAAGTCAGTGGTAACTTGGATATAAGAAGTTATTCAAATGCATTACACAGAACAATATCAACTGGGTATATTAATGTACCTCATATGTGCTGCTCATATATCTCCAGAATTCCGGTGTAATATTTGATTGTTACATTCATAATAGTTCCTCGTGTTATTCACTTATTTACGGTTCGCTTACAATATATATAGTCTTACTTATATATAGTCTTCACTTATATATAGTCTGTCTGATAACTGAAGGTGACATTCAGAATCAGTGTGTAGAGTTGGAAATTTATGTGTTCATTGAAAAACGTGCGGTTCACTTATACAACAGAGCACCATTTTATATTTCATCTTGGCATTTTTCACCGGTTATTGGGACAGAACATTTGAAGATAGACTAGATAATATTAAGTTCATTATATCACCACTCAGCCGCTAGATCTGTTCTGAGAGCTTTTTTTTTTTTTTTTTTTAATTATAATTTTAGATTGCTTTTACATTTTCGCAGTTCGTTGCCAGGTAGTCTATGAGAGTTTTAAGTTTGTTTCGTCGTAACTTACTCTTTTTGGAGTTGTTTCAACCACAACTGAGCATTTTCAGCTGTATAAAGCCGAAAATATGGGTTTTTGGTGATTTCGTACTCGCAAATGTAGTGATCAATGGTACCTGTTGGGCCGCATATGCATGAATCTGTATGCTGCAATCCGAAGCAAAACAGTAGGCTGCAAAAGGGCCATGCGCTGTCAGGAAATATATCATTTCTCTGCCTGTAGAGGTTAATTCCCTTGAGGGCACCGGGTTGAAGTTATATGTCCTCCTGCCTGTTAGCTCTTATGAACACCCAGGTCAACCATTAACATAAGAATCTGTACTGAACCAATGAACTGGAATAGCCCCTGTATGGCCATGTAAACTTTTTAATGAAGGCTCAGTAACTCCCGGTGTGCCCTTGTGGGACACCAGGGAGTTGTTGCATCTAGATAGGGAAGGGACATATGCCTGTTTACCTCCGTTAAATACCAGGCGTCCCCGTCCTTCGTCACCTGTCACCTGCCTGTTAGCTCTTGGGTGAAGGCCTACGCCGGACATGACAGAAATGAAATGGTGGACCGCATTGCTAAAGAGGCTGCCACTAGAGAAGCACTCACCCATGTCAACATCCCCTGGCCTATTTCCCACCTGAAAAAGTCACTCAGACTTCAAAGCTATGGTACAATAGCAGTAAGAGTGGGATTGCAGCACAACAGGCCGCAGGACGTACTATCATTTTGGGTATGTAGACCCGATGCGGTTAGTCACCAACCTACAGCTGGTCAGGCATATTACCGGACACGGCCCATTTCTAGAGTACTTCCACAGATATGGAATCAGTGCAACAGATAGATGCACATGCGGAGAAGTAGGCACTCCGGAGCACTACCTTACCTGCTGCCCACTCACCACTGCAACACACATCAGATTCTCTATCACAAATCAACATTCCTTCCGGAAGCTTCTAGTGAAACAACGACCTCTAACAATTAAGATCAGTAAGATGATAGAAAAACTGTCTGAACTGGATAAGGACCTCTGCCAAGTCGTATAGTATTATCTTAAAACATAAGAGTACTGAGTCTGTCCATTCTAATGGTGTGTTGGTGTATTTAATTATGGCAAAGCACACTAGGGCTATCTGCCCAAGGGGACGGATGCCTTCGTGGAGGACTTTCTAAGGGAAACTGGCTCGTATACACTTTACACACGGGGAAAACCACGAAAACGCCCATGCAGCGAGCCCGTTAGCGGGATTCGGACCGAACTACCAGTGTTCAGCGACTTTACCGCTCGGCCGCTGGTGGGCGCATTCTAATGAATCATGTATAATGTGTCTTATAATACTATGTTTGTATTCAGTGAGTGTGAATTCATCATATATGAGAACAATTCAACGTATGTTTATATGCAGATGTAATGTACTCAAAATATAATATATTCAAAGGTGAACGTAATCAAGTATAATTCACCATATATGTGAATATTTCAACGCATAATTTATATTTAGATGCAATGTACTCAAAGTATAATGTGTATGCAATGTATCTCTTATGTATGCGTATCTACTTATCTATACATATGTATTTAGTATTACCACGTATGTGTTACGTATATCTAATAGGTGACTCTACCCAAGTGAACTCTTCATAATTATAATACGCGTAACGCGTGTCAATGCGTAATGTTCACCACTGTATCTACTTACCCAGAAATATGTATATATTTAATTTATTTCTGTAACTGTAACATGTATTTAATGAGGCCATCTCATAATACCTAGGTCACTTCATTATAAACATAACGTATGCGTATCGACTTATCCATGTGTATTATTTATTTACCTCTGTGTATTGTGTATCCAATGTAGGAGACTTATTTATCCTAGTTAATTCATTATAAGCATCATGCGTATTTACTCATCTATGTTTATGTTTATTATATTTATTATATATTTTTCCCCTATATACCCCTGTATGTGTAATGTGTATCCCGTGTACATGATATACTCAATAAGATGTATATAATATACCCAATACACAGGCTGTATATAACATACTCAATACGCAATGCAAATTCAATGTGTATCTAATAACAATGTGTACCTATACCCAATGTGTATCTAAAAGCATATGTGTATTTAGTAACGTATGTGTAATTACTCGTGCATGTATGTGTGTTTATCTATCTACCCCTGCATGTGTAATGCGTTTCCAATGAAGGTGACCTCATTTATTTAAGTCAATTCTTCAATTATTATTCAATGCATACCCAATGTTATGTGTACCTGTATATCCATATATATGTATTTATTTATCTACCCCAGTACGTAAACCCCAGTCATGTGTATCTAATAGATGACTATGCATATCCAAGTCCCCAGTAATGTGTATCTAATAGATGACTATGCATATTTAAGTCAATTCTTTATAATAATTATATGTGTAACGTGTATCAGTGTGCATAATAACTTACTAACCTAGGCTGTATATATAATACATTCAATGCGCAATGCATATTCAATGCGTATCGAACGTTTGCGTACGCACTTGTTCATGCAAATGTATACCCCTATATGTATATATAATATAGGTGACCTTATTTATCCAAATCAAAACATTATAACCTTCATTATATGTTTCTAAGTATGCGTGTTTACTCAATCCTGTTTATGAATTAATTTAATTACCCCAATTAGTGTAGCGTCTGGATGTACTATATACTTAATGCATAATGCGTCTCCAACATGCATTTAATGTATGCATATTTATTTATCCCTGTATCAGTATTTCTTTACTTATTTATGCATGTGTAATGTTATTGTAATCCAAGCTATAGGTGATTTTATATATCCAAAACAAATCACTATGATCATAACATTTTGCGACGAAATTATATTAAGTAGCTACTGCATATATATGTAATGTATATAATCAGTGTTATATCATGCGTATCAGTTTTCATATTTCTATGCATATTTTAAACGTACTTCAAGGTATATTTTAAGCAAGTCATATATTGTCAAAGTATTATTCAATGTAACAATATGTGTAACTATAATATGTGCGGGTAATTATAATTGTTATCAAGGTCACCGTAGGAAATCTTGTAACATGTATCTTGAACGACGCATAAGACACTGTATAAATATAATCAATGCATACTAAATCGGCGAGGCGCCAGTGTGTCCCCCTCTTGACATCTGAAGCTGTTCTAGTTAATGGTGGACGTGGTGCTGTACTGATTAACCAGTATGGTAGAGGCACAGTGCCCACATCCCCCGTCACTTGTACCTGCCTGTTAGCTCTTGTGTCCAGTTAGTTTTACACCGGAACTCTACAGAAACATAATGTATAATACTTACAAAAGAAGTTCCATTTCTTTATCCTAATGACTTTCAAATAATGAAACGACATCAATGCGAAGCTATAAGACATACTTTGAAAAACGCCATTGCATTCCTTGAAAAAATGAAAACTGACACACGTATTGTATTTTTCAACGTATTCCTGCGAAGTCCTCTGATTTTCACCTGTGCATTAATTATTGTGGCTTTGGTCCCTTGAAAATAGCTATTTGTAAGCTAAACCTCACGACGATTGACAGACTCCTGACAGTATTAGAAGAGAAATGGAAATCAATACCCCCTGAAAATTGTACGAAAATCACAATAATGACTTATTGTTTAGAAATAAGGCTATTATATTAAACATTTCAAAAATGCTCTTTATATTTTAAATATTAATTAAACAGTCACGAAATCATTCTAAAAACGTGTAAATACACTTTGTAGAACACATCGTTTTCTTTATTTTCTTCTTTAATTTAAACTTACAGTTTTAACTGTAAATATGCATGTAATGAGAGAAATAAACTAAAAAAATCAGAATTGTGTACATTATTAGAACAGAGAAAGTAGTCTGAGTGACATAAGGAATTTAAAATATATATATATGGCTAAATCTAATACTCAAAGATTTATAAAAGAAATTAAATGAAAACGAAACAAAACAAAACAAAACAAAAAAACAAAACAAAAAAAGAAAAAAGAAAAGAAAAGCATGCATAATTTTAAGTAAAGTAGAATATGGATAAATTTGTAATATCAATATATGTCGTGTATAAATAAAGAAAAATGATTGATAATGAAGTCAATAAATAATAAAGTAATATTTGAGATTTATTTATACATTTCGCCTTATAACTATCAGTTCCGCTGATATTTATTTATGCTAATTTTTCAGAAAAGAGATAGAGGAACATGAAAGGACTTTGGATCCAACTAACATACGAGATTATATTGATGGTTATTTAATAGAGATTAAGAAAAGGGCCGATGATCCTGATTCTACCTTTACAAGTATGTCAAAGTTTCTAAAATGCTATTTCTGTTTATCTCTTATTTACATTCCAGATTATACTCTGTTTTATAACTTTTCCTTAAAAAGCTCAATTTGAGTCATTAATGTCATTTAATTATACACATTATATAGCTGCAATATATATGCATGAAAAAAATTAGCATTCTTAAATTAATTTGACATAATATCATTAATATACACTCACGTTTGTGAAAATTGCAACACCAAGAAGGAATCGTCATAATTGAATGCAATTTAATACACAGTTGAGTGGTAGTGGTACAAATAAATGATTAAATGTTCAAAGCAAACAAACAATAACAAGAGATCAGAATCAGTATTTTGTGTGGCCACCACGCGCCGCAATAAGTGCTGCTACACGACGTGGCAAGGAGTCAAACAAAGTTTGAATGTCTGACTGAGGAAGAGCATTCCATATCGTTTGTACGCGTACCCAAAGTTCGTCTGCAGACGCAACAGGACGAGGATCACGAGCAAGACGCCGACCAATGACATCCCACACATGTTCAATTGGCGACATATCTGGGGAACACGCAGGCCAAGGAAGAAGCTGTACCTGCTGCGCTGCAAAGAAGGATTTAACAATCCGAGCAGTATGAGGGCGGGCATTGTCCTGTTGAAATACAGCGCCTGGCAAGCTTTGAAGGAAGGGAACAGCTTCGGGCTGTAGAACTTCACGGATATACCTGTTGCTGTTCAGATTGCCCACAATTCGTAGCAATTGAGATCGTCTATGATATGCTATGGCGCCCCAGACCATAACTCCAGGTGTTCGTCCACTGTGGCGTTCGATAATGCACTCCGGAAGGTGGCGTTCACCGGCATAGCGTCTGACACGAATGCGGCCATCATGGTACCACAAATTAAAGCGGGATTCGTCAGAAAACACGACTTGCTGCCAATCAGCACGCCAGTCTCTATGCTGATTGGCCCATTGTAGCCGCAGGCGGCGATGGTCGTGCGTTAGGGGGATCCTGTATAAAGGAGTCCGTGCGCGCAGTCCACACTGCAGCAGACGTCTACGAATTGATGAAGCACACAATGAAACACCTGTAGCTATTGACCACAGTGCTGCCAATTGTCTAGAGGAAGCTGTACGGTCCGTCCGCGCCATGCGGACCAGGTGTCTATCATCGCGAGCTGACGTCACATTTCGGGGTCCACTCCCGGATTTCCGAGTTGTCCGACACTCGTCCGTCCACTGCTTCCAAACGCGCATCACTGTGCTGCTGTTACGCTGCACACGAGAGGCTACTGCACGATACGACAATCCAGCTTCACGAAGGCCGATGATTCTCCCTCGTTCAAACTCTGTAAGTTGTTCAAATCTCGCTCTCTTTCGTCGACGAGGCATAAGTACAGATTGAGTTAACGTTTACCACTAGCAGATAACCACCGATAACCATACACGCCTCGCTACAGCCGTCTATTTATTCGGATCCATCAGCCGTTCAGAGGGCGCTGCTCAGCATACGCATGCGCTACGGATTTGCAATTCTAATCATTTGCATATCATGCGCTACTTTGCATTTTCTGAAAATTTCAGCTCACTCGCGTAAGTCCTTCATGGTGTTGCAATTTTCACAAACGTGAGTGTACATACTAAGTTGACTTTTAACCAGAAGCTACAACTTTTATTACATTAGAACCTGCAGTTTCTGTTCACTGAAAATTGCAAATACAATAAAATGAATGAAAGCGTAGCACCTGCCTATATCTATTTTGCTTAAGAAAGAGATGGACATTTTTGAGATAATTAAATGGTTTACAAAAACAAGTTATAGTATTTCCATGCTTTAAGCCCTTATCCTATTTGCACTTTCTTCACTGTGCGGCTTAGGAGTTCGATGACATAAATTACAGTAAAACTCTGCTCAGCAGAACCTGGTTTAACAGAAAGTTGATTTATCCAAAAAAAAAAAAAAAAAAAAAAAAAAAAAAAGAGGGTAAAATTAAATTGATTGACCATTTTCATTTAAAATGAATTACAAGCCAGTACTGAATTTTTGTTATTATTGGAATGAAAATTTGCATCCTTCATGAATAATATGCTAAATCTCCTGCTTCCTTTATTTTTTGATGCAGTATTATGCGATATAAATTTCGTATTATTGCGGTGTTCATAATTCCAGTATAGATGTAAAACTTGCAGTTATAATTTGAAAATTTTTATCGTTCAGAGGAGGTTCTAGTGGATATGGCAAGAGGGTTCTTGATTGCCGGAGGCGACACAGCTCGTGTGTCAGTGGAGTGGCTAGTACTGTTATGTGCTGCTTTTCCAGAAGTGCAGATAAAAATCCAGAAGGAAATCGACGACGTCATTGGGCAAGAACGATTTCCAACTAGAGCGGATTATCTTCAGATGCCCTACACAGAGGCTGTTATTCTGGAGACGAATAGGTGGAAAACAATTGCACCTCTGAATGTAATGAGAGCGTAAGTTTCCATGATCTTTCATTTTTTTTAAATAAGCATAAATAAAGAATATATATATAAAGCACAGTTCATATAAATATTTGAGATTGTCTAATACATGTAACCGTATGAATTATCTCATTTAATATTGTGGTTATTATTTTTTTTTCTAAAAAAAGGAAAAGGAACTAAAACGTAATTAAAAGCAAAAGCTAATTCTGTCAATTGTAAGCCCAGCGTCTTTTTAAAGGACCCTTTCTTTGTTTTTATAATAGAAAAAGTAGAGTTAGGGCAAAAGTGGTGCACGTTCTTTCATGTAAGGAACTTATCTACATCAGATTAGTGTGTATGTGGTGAAAGAGGCAGCCCTGAACACTATTTACTCAAATGGGCACTCTCGCAGCTAAGCATCATCTAAGAGTTCCTAACTCTGAAAGCGAAATAAATCTTTTTATAAGTAAGGCTATCAAGAGCAACCATCTCAAAAAGAAAATCGTAAACATAATGAACTTCCTGTCTACAAGAGGCACTGAGCTATGCAACATAGTATAAAATAGCACAAAGGTATTCCCTAAGAATTTAATACTCACCAGAGGGTAAATATTCTTTGAACTTCTTCAAAACTGAAATAACATCGCACTTTTAAAAGTGCCGTAGCATTTACTGTAAGAGGAAATTGCATATACCTAGAAAAATTGAGCAATATAGCTAGCAATGAGACTCTTAACAATGGAAACCTAATGAGAACCTTCTGACTTACCAAATCGTAAAACTCAGTCACAAGAACAAATGTGTACAAAAGCCTGATAATCTCATGCAGAATTGTAGAATGGTAACCTCAAGATTCACACCTACCTGCAACAGAACAAAAATGCAACTAGAATTGTCCTCGATAGAATGTAAGTGTCACAGCCACCAATTGTGAAAGCATCAATGTAAAAAATGTAATTCTTTCTTTATAGATCTTACAAACACCTGGTTATACGATGGAGAGATTTAATACTCACCAGAGGGTAAATATTAGCAGAAATATTATGCAGGTGCAGCATAGGGTAAGATAGGGCTAGACCGAAAATAAATTTCCTTCGTATTTAAATTAAAATGTGAGTCCCTTTCAATTCACGGATAAATACTCATTAGGTCTATGATAGCTTTATCTCTTGTTTCAAGAATATGCGATTTAAATATAAGTTTCTCAAAGTAGACTCCAAGATACTTGATTGTTGTGCCACGTGATATTTTAGAGCCATCCAGAATAATACAATCATTCTAGTAGAATGTTTTTTGAAATAAATAACACAGTATTTAACAGCATTAATTTTAGGTTTCCATCCTTCAAACCAAGGTGAAGTTGCTTGCGTCTTTTAGCTTTCTTGGATTTAAATAGTGTTGAGCAATTTGCATAAGACAGCTGTATCGTCTACGTAGTAGGCGATTAAAGCATTACTACTGTTGTGGAGGTTGTTAATATATATGTAGAAAAGCAAAGACCCCTAAGACTGAACCCTGGGGTACACCAGCTTTTATTTTCCTGATATTGGAGTATTTGCCTTTAATGCGAACTTGAAAGGTCCTGTGATGTAGGTAATCTGAAAGAAGTACTATAAGGCTTGGAAGTAAACTATGGGCAATAAATTTGATAAGGAAGCCGTAATGGCAAACCTTATCAAACGCTTTCTCAGTATCCAAAAAGAGACCAGCTACTGTTTCATTTTCGTTGAAACTTTCAGCCACAAACTCATTGGTTCTAGTAACCTGCTGGGTTGTAGAAAAAGTATTTCTGAAATTGAACTGATGATTTTGTAGGATGTTGTTGTCAGCAATGAATTTATGAAGTCCAATGATAATTAAATGGTCGAATAATTCTTTGAGAGGTCTTTTAATCACAGAAATAAGATCGTGTTTCCAGGAGTGAGGATAAGTGTTTAACCTGAGGCATGCGTTGAAAACTTTAGTGATAAGAATGATTGCTTTTATTCGAATTCAGTTAGTACTTTATTTGGAATATATGAGCACCCAAATGTTTTCCTGGAAATCAATTGATCAATATCATTTCTTCGGAGGGCTTTTGCTAATTTCCATACGGAATCCATTGATCCTTATATGAAACGCTGCTCACGAAAATAATCCAGGTGTTTTCTCTGTAATCTTACGTGAGTTCTCTAAATGCTCTGTTACTTTTATTATAGCGATGTACGCTGAAGTGACAAAAGTCATGGGATAGCAATATGCAAATATAGAGATGGCAGTAGTATCGCGTAGAAAATGTATAAATGCGAAGTGCTTTGGCAGGAGCTTTCATTTGTGTTCAAGTTATTCATGTGAAGAGGCTTTGACGTGATTATGGCCGCACGACGAGAATTAACAGACTTTGAACGGGGAATAGTAGTTGGAGCTAGACGCATGGGTCATTCCATTTCGGATATCATTAGGGAATTCAACATTCCGAGATCCACAGTGTCAAGAGTGTGCCTAGAGTATCTAATTTCTGGCATAACATCCTACCATGGACAGCGCAGTGGCCGACCACCTGCACTTAACGACCGAGACCAGCGACGTCTGCGTAGAGTTGTCAATGTTCACAGACAAGCAACACTGCGTCAAATAACCGCAGAAATCAATGTGGGACGTGTCCGATAGGACAGTGCGGCGAAATTTGTCTTCCTTGGGCTATGCCAGCAGAAGACCGACTCGAGTGCCTTTACTGACAGCACGACATCGCCTGCAGCGACTCTCGTGGGCTCGTGAGCATATCGGTTGGTCCCTAAACAAATGGAAAACCGTGGCTTGGTCAGATGAGTCACGATTTCAGTTGGTAAGAGCTGATGGTAGGGTTCGAGTGTGGCGCAGACCCCACGAAGCCATGGACCCAAGTTGTCAAACAAGGCACTGTTCAAGCTGGTGGTGGTTCCATAATGGTCTGGGCTGTTTTTACATGGCATGGACTCGGTCCTCTGGTGCAACTGAACCGATCATTGACTGGAAATGGATACCTTCAGCTACTTGGAGATCACTTACAGCCATTCATGGACTTCACGTACTCAAACAACGATGGGATTTTTATGGATGACAATGCGCCATGTCACCGGGCCACAATTGTTCGCGATTGGTTAGAAGAACATTCTGAACAATTCCAGCGAATGATCTGGCCACCTAGATCGCCCGACATGAATCCCATCGAACATTTATGGGACATCATCGAGAGGTCAGTTCGTGCCCAAAACCCTGCACCGTCAACACTTTCACAATTATGGACGTCTATAGAGGCAGCATGGCTCAATATTCCTGCAGGGGACTTCCAACGACTTGTTGAGTCCATGCCACGTCGAGTTGCTGCACTTCGCCGGGCAAAAGGAGGACCGACAAAATATTAGGAGGTATCCCATGACTTTTGTCACTTCAGTGTATGTCATGTGATTCTTGACTATTTTGCGAAATTTTGCGGTGCCTGTTTTTCTCTTTTATTTTAAGCTGAATGTTTCTAGGTAGGGTGACATCTGCATATTAGTAGGGATCTTGCTTTCGTTGATGGCATTTGTATTATTTTGGTTGACACCATTATTAATATCTGGGATTATCTGGAATCTGTGCTTCAAACAATAAAGTGTAAATTTTACATTCATTGTCGATATAAAGATAAGGCGGTTGCCCAGAACTGGCGTTAATGATGATATCTAGATCAGGGTTCGCTGGAGAAATCTGAGAGTAATGCGGTAATGCGTTGGTTCGTTCTGTGCAGAGATGACAATATCGGGGGCACTAAAACGTCTTGTTCCTCTTCCTTTTAGTCCTCCGTATTAAGCAAAGGCAGAAGACAGGCCCAAAATGCCCCAACACATAACATTAGGACTTCTCCATTTACTGCCGCCAATCCCGCACTCAATCGGAGACAGTAATCACTTATCCCAACCAATCCGACCGAGTTCGCGTGGTCACTATTCCCGGTTATTGGTCTCATGGAGAAGCATGACTGCAGTTTTAAAACCTGACAATTTGAATGAGCGTCGGTCATATGGTCCCGCCAGTATGCAGGCAGCCCCACACTGAAGGGATTAGAGAATTCGGTGAACAATAAACTAGCCGTTTCACCGCTGCTGACACCTAAATGGAATTGCACGGAATTCGGATCGAACTGCAAGCCGTGATCTCTACCGATACCACCAGGTTGGGGGCTTACAGCCAGCTCCCCCCTCCTTCGTCCAACTGTATAAGACGATCTGGAGTTCTGGAACCTCCAGGCTCGTGTTTTTATCCCCCGTTGCCGAGACTGTTAAGGTACAGAGCCTAGCCAGTATAATAAGCGACTGCTAGAGAGATTTTGTCACATAAGAAACAAACGTCGAAGTTTTTGAATTGAATTTTTATTTTATTTGCATTAAAATATTTAGTTTTATAAGATGAAAATGGAAGTTTTTATTTTTTTCATTTTTATTTAAGAAGTTATTTTTAATTTAATTGTTTTTAATTTTTAATTTAGGGAAATTTCTAATGACAAACTTTCTTCTTAGTCTACACCTCTTTAGAGCCTGGTAAACTGCAATCTAAGTCATTCTTCTCAAACTGGTGACCCTCGGACCTTATGCGGTCCCCGAAGCAATTTATGCGACTCACGAATACATTTCAATTAGGCATTGTTGCAAAGATTTTCAAGATTTTAACTATTTGAAGTCCGAGTTTACATCGTTTCATTACCATAAAAAAACTAACGACAGCAAATGCAGCAGAAAATCTATAAACTGAGTTTAATTCATTTAAAATGTGATATAAATCTTATTCAAGGATTTATACAGATTTGGTTAAATTTTATTCACATTTGTCAAAAAATAAATATGCTCTGTCATAAATTTTTGTTTTAAGAATAATAACTTTGTATGTCAATATATTTATATATCTGAACAGTTTTTTCCCACATAAATTAATAAGAAATAATTCTACTGACCGAAGAATATCTATAATGAGCGACAGAGATAATTTCTAATAATTCTTTTCCAGTTCACCGACGTTATAGAAATAAATTTTATATTTATATACAAAACTTATAATTATTTATATACAAACAAATCTATTTTAATTTATGTGAGACAGAAAAATTTAACAATTAAGAGAGACCAGGTTGCTATTATTTATTCTCGAGTTTTGTTCCACTTGAAAATATTTCATGGTTTGTTTGTTTTTAATTTAAACTGGTTTGTTCGTGGTTTGCTTTTTTTTTTAATATTTCGCGGTTTAAGTTATTTAATGATTAACTAGGCATGTTGGAATTATTTGAAAGGTATGTCAATCTGAACGTTTAGTTATTTATCAATACATTTGAATTACAAAGTGCAACCAACAAAAATGTCTTCCAAATTCCAAACATTTTATTTCAGGTAGAAAATAAATATAAATGTGAACTTTTTTCATCTGCGTTATTATTAGTCATATACGTTTTGATAAATATTTAGTAAACAGACTTTCAAATTTACTTCAAATGTATTACATTTTGTGGATTAAAAAAAATTTCATTTTGCTAAAAACATTTCTGGTCCGTTGACTGTTTTCAAATCATGTATTCAAATCACAAGCAATTTAATATTGAAACCTAAGACTGTCTAAGTCGTTCAAACTGAAAACTAATAGAATTATTACTATTACAGTTATTAGAAACTAAGCTCTCAAGATCCTTGTATATAGCAAAAAGTGTTCTTGCATTATATTATGAATTAATCAAAATGAAATTTGGAACCATAGTACAAATAATAAAATTTGTAAAACAAGGGAATTGAAAAGTTAATGAAAGCTAACATTATAACTAATGTTTCTAAAATTTCTCCCTCAGAAATAAATTTCTATTCCATTTGAAATAAATATTATAATAGTTAGTATACCTACTATTATATTAAATCAAATTTCATTAATCAAATATTTTGCCATAAAATATTAAAAATTATGCACGAGAGTGTTCTAATTTTTATGCTTTCTCTTTAGAAATTCAGTTATGCCATGTTAAACAGCGAGTACAACGCATAAAATGTTTTAACTTGTGGATACATAAGGTTATTTCGAAGCAGGAGAGATAAAAAATGAACAACGCCTTCACCGGGACTCAAACCAAGGGCCTCTCGAATACGCGCCGAGCGTGCTGACCACTACACTACGAAGGCATGCTAAGAAGGCAGGAGAAATACCTTATAAACTACAGAACATTATAGCAGACAAGCAATAAAAAATAAGATAATTCAGTAGACTTAAAGAAATCCAAAGTTAAGCTGCATTAGATTCTTTAATTCTTAATCTGCTTATGTTTTAGAAACATCTGAGTAAATGAATTTGGACGGATTTGGTATTATTTTTAGAACTGTAAACTCTGTACTTCATTTCTCTTCATTTGTTTTCTTATATTTATAACTTGCGTAAAATATGTAATTAAATGAAGTTTACTTTCTGTGTACATATTTTTTAGCACATTAAAGGATACTGAACTGAATGGTTATTTCATTCCAAAACATTCTCAAGTTCTAGCCATATTATACGCAGTTCATTATGATAAAAAACTCTGGGGAAACGATACTGACGTCTTCCGACCTGAAAGATTTTTGAGCGAAGATGGAAAAAGAGTTATTAAGCCTGAATACCACATTCCTTTTTCTATCGGTATGCATTTTCTACATTTACTGTAGTACATATTATATGCATATTATATGTTGTATTTATTGTATAAGCATTGAAATTGTGACTTTAAAAGAATAGTAATATTTGTCACTCTGTTTTTTTTTCTGCACGTTGATCTTAAATGTAATATTTTTATTTCTAAATTAATCATTTATGTCTATTTAAAATTTTCTTTTTATATATATCTTATAATGATTTTAATTATTTTGCTAATTCACTAAAACTCTCATTGTTTCTCTTTTCTTCTACCTCTCTCGCGTGATTTGTTTTAAAATTATGTTAGTTACTATCTAAATAAAAACTAGTTAGAAAAAACATAGAGATCTTTTCATCTAAAGTTATACATTTCATTCCACATAATTAATACATTTTATAGATTCCATGTTAGACAATCTTTAGTTTTATCCTTTATTAAGTCCAGATTGAAATAAATATATTTAAATTTTGCTCTTCAAAATTTTCGTGTTCATTTACTTCTAATTTTGGTTCAAGTCACTTGCAATAAACAAAGCAAGAAAATATTCTCCAAGTGACTGTTCAAATGTTAATTCATCTTGAAGGTTAATACGTTACTTAAATGTTCATTTTAGGCATCTTAATATCCGCCCCCCCCCCGCTTTAGCTCAGAATTTGTACGCAATGAACTGGCAAATAACTGCTGGCCATTAAAATTAGAACACCATGATAGCAAATTCGAAACTTCCACAAAAGCCAGAATGTGCTGCGATTAGCTTTTCACGATTAAGATAACTATAGCAAATTAAGGTTTGCGTGCATTGCAGGCAAAAGTAATAACACCTCTAAGCAGTATAAGAGGATAGAATGAAATGGTTATTCTCCTTTAAGGGCATTTATTTGATCTCCTTTTTTGCTGAAGGTCGTGATATGATCTGTGTAGAAAGAACGATCTCATACCTGCACTTATCATATTTCAAAGATGAGCGAATCGTAGTCTGCTGCTTAGTCTAAGGGTTATCGCACTGCTTATATGCCGTTTACCTTAGTCAGTATCCAATGATTGCTTATCCAATGATTGCTATGTTTTGGTTTGGTGTACTTGATTATTACAAAGAACGCTAAGGATATCTGCCTAAAGAGAAGGACGCCTTTGTGGACGATTATCTAAGAGAAACTGGCTCGTATCAACATTACACATGGAGAAAACCACCAAACGTTCAAATGACTGTTATGAGAATTTGAGTCATTAGGTACAAGGAAGTCCAGCAAAGCGACGTGAATTCCCAAACACTTCAATACCTAAGACATTTGACATCTTGTTAGCATCGTTAGCAATCGTAAACATCACGTACTCTGCATAACGAAACTGAGTGGGTTTGCACAGCAGCTGTATGGACAGATAAAGTATGACGATGTTTTCAAAGCCACGAATCACATTTGATTTGGTTTCGCTTTATGTCACAATTTAGGATTCAATACTTAAAATTACTGTATTTATATAGGCGCATCATTAGTGTGATGTTGTCTTTTCTGACAAAACCCGCATTTGCTTACAGCTTAACAATGGAAGATGCTTAAGTCTGGGTTTGTGGCACATTTTTTAGCCTCTATCTCCCATCTTTCAAGAGATGGTGCCCAACTGTCTTAGTACTTAGAATGTCTGACTGTTGCCTTGCTCGACACTTTCTTCACATCTCGCACCAACTGCAAACATTTGATCACTGCTTGCAGAGACATTACCGTGACAATAGCCGCCAGCCACCACCATAGATGAACTTCAGTCACCATAGTTGTAAAATAAATATGATTCTGCTATCTGCTTTCCTTTATTGTCTAACAATTTTATATCAGGCAATATTATTTCGACAGTCTTTAAGACAATCTGTAGAAATATTTAATGTCTCGATGTATACCACTTTAAAAGGTAAACCGTATTTTTTTAAATAAATAATCAAAATTCAAATATAAGATACTCGTATTTCTGAAAATGTATGTAAAGCGTGTGAGAAAAAATTTTATAAAAAATACCAAAATGTTCTAATGGCAAAGATACTTTCGAAAATATAGTATTGGACTTCTTTATGAATGTTTGCTTCAAAATGTCTTGATATATTCAAGAGTGTGCCTAAAAGTACCATAGCTTATCTACAGAAACTACGAGTCACACGTATACTCGTATTGCTATTTTGCTCTCGTAAAATGTCAAAAACTGTTTTGGGTTTTCAAAATAAAAGCTAGAAGATAACACAAATCTGAATTTTAGTTCATTAAAAAATTATACATCGTGTTTTCTATAGCAATTTTCTTTCAGCACCTTAAGCATAATTTATTCAGCATGAATTTCTACTTATTTTTAGTAACAGCAAATACTTCTTTAATAGATAAATTACTCTCACTGCTTATTTTTATTGATAAATGCAAGAACGTTCGTTCTTTTAATAATACAAATCCTCTTTTATGTAACATTCATTAAATTAAAAAGGAATACTAGGGCAGCCATCGATTTTAAGCACCTAGGAAAAAAAAACCTAACTTGAAGCCAGCCCGTATCTAAGAGTGTAAAGCTGTTGAAGACTGGTAGTATAAGTTCAGTTTTCCTGGCCATTGAAAAGGTGACACGAAGTTTGGTGTTTTTCCAGCAAATAGCGAGTCAATTTGCTGAGAAAAATCTTTCACAGAACATTAATCCTGATATTAAGAGATTTCGCATCCTTTGCTGTAACAAATAAGTCGAATCCAAAGACCTGGTCTACCTGTAGTCGAGCAGTAAAATCCACTAAACAACTAGTAGTTCGAAGGCTGGCGAACGAACTGACTGCATGTGCTTTTTTGTGGATTTCCCCATGTGTAATATGGGCGCGAGCCAATTTACTTTAAAAAGAGTTCCACGGGACATCTTTCAGTGTAGTGACTAATGACGCGAAATAAATAAATAAAAAGAACAAAGGTAATAAAATGTTCTCGAAGGTAAGTAGGTTGATTTTTAAGTCCGTCTATAAATACCATTTTAAATTCGCGCATCCTTAAGAATGCATGCGCACGCAAGTTTTCAGCATTCTTTGGTAGAATCCGATACCACTTGCATTACGGCGTTAGGTTGTGTGCTGAGCAGTATGAGCTTCCACTGAAGCCAGCGCATTGCCGTCTGTGAAATATACGTCACGGATCTTAACAATAAAAATATTAAAACTGCGAATATTCATTGCCGTATTAATGTCGTAGAAGTCTACAATGCAATGAGTAATAGTAAAGTGCGAAAATGGACGAGATTGTTAAAGGGAAGTCGAGAAAACTACTAGTATACTATTTACCAAGCGCAGTATCAACATGAAACTATTGCAACTTATTTTAGAATAAGAAACGACTTGTGAGAATCGCGTAAATTTTATTAGCTTTTTCAGGAATACAAAACAAATCTTTCATATGCAAATTTAAGTAACAAAAAAATGGGAATAGGAAGTTTCTGAAACGTCAGCCTTCTGAATTCAAAAGTAATACCACTCGGAACTTGAAAGATTAATTTTAGTTTTTCTTTAATAAATTTTTCTTGAAGGATTTATACAAAGTTTGCCTGTTGGAAGATGTGCAGTGTTTTATTATTCTGTTTCACTGACTAGTCACGAAACACGCCTTTACAGAGCCCTTCTACATATAAGGTTCTTTCGAAGTTACACGTGGTACAGGTGTGTTTCCTAGACCTGGAGAAAGCGTTCGACAGAGTCTGGCACGACGGCCTGATCTATAAAATCAGTAATTTCATGTTCCCCATCAATTTTATGAAACTCATGATTTCTTATCTGAAGAGAAGAACTTTTCTAGTTCGGGTTGGAGATACTCTGGCACAGAAGAAAGTAATACAAAGTGGAGTCCCGCGAGGATCAGTTATCGCACCAAAGCTTTTTAATATTTTTATAAATGACTTACCTAATCCATTGGCGTCTAAAACACTAAAATAGGCAGATGACACAGTGATTTTGTCGCAATCACAAAGCCCGCAGTTAGCTCTAAACAACCTCCAACTCTACGTAAATGCTGTCGCCGCCTGGTGTCAGCTCTGGAAGGTAAAAATTAATACCTCAAAATGCACTACTGTTCCCTTTCGTCGTTACAGGAAAAATGAGAGAACAAATAGTAACATGAAAATCGGAAATGGTATCATCCCAGTCTCTTCGTTCGCTAAATATTTTGAAGTGATTCTTGATGAACGACTTAGCTAAGACCATGTAATTAGCCAAGTTAACAAAGCAAATCGAGCTTACATTTATTACACGTATTATAATATCAAATAAATTAGTTTTGCCACATACGTCTATAATCTCATAGGACGGAAATCTAAGCTTAGCTTAAAAATTAAACGTACTCTGTGTTTAGCACTTATCAGACCAATTTTGCTTTATGCAGCCCCGGCCTAGGCCACGGCGTTAAAGACTGAACGAAGGAAAATTAATCTCCTGTAAAATAAAATACTAAGAGCGATGGTTAATGCGCTTTGGTATGTTAGAAATGCGATCATTTATGAAGATTTAAAAATTAAACCAATACCGGAGCAGATCCTAATGGATGTTCACAACTCTTTTGAAAAATTGGAGAATTCGCCAGTCAATACCTTGAGAAAAATTACGAATTATGATCCCACTGTGGAAAGCGTAGTGAAACGACCTAGGTCATTTCACCACAATGTTAAGTGGTAGCTGTAAATATGTATAGAGTTTTATCCAACTTATATCATATTATTCAAGTATTTAATCAGGATTTATTTCGTGTTTGTGAATTTGTGTTTGTGTTTACTACTAAGAATATTGACTTAGTGCCTGGACAGGCAAAAGACTTTAAGTGTTATTTGCACAAAGTGTAAATAATTGAACTCACCACGCCTACTACTGGGGATCCAACCGTATTGGCTAGTACCGGTCTCGTGATACTCATACTCTGAATTCTCAAGAATTAGATATATTTTCTCGAATCTCTCACTAAGCAGTTTTATGTTCTTCAGTCAGGACTCAGATGATTTTCATGACTTAAAAATTGAAATTTTTGCTATTATGTTAGTGTACGGCACTTTGACTTGCCACCTTAAAGCTCTGATTGCCTGATCTCTCAGACTCTTATTTTCGCCTTAGGGTGAGTTGGCGATAGCGCCCTAAATTTTTCTACAACCGTGAATGGCCGTATGGCAAGTTACAATGATCAGGTTTAAACTCTAAGAAGTTGATGCCTGTAGTGAAAGTAGAGCATAAGCATATATACGCGGGATACGGAAGATCGTTGTAGATCATATCTGCTTGAAAACAGAAAACAAATTTTAAATCTTCATTTCCACGCTAGGTAAAATAGCTTCGTAGGGTTACTGAATATGGGGAGGGGGAATATGTTTGCTAGTATCTATGACATACTGCTTAAATTAGGTGCCGCTGCTAAAGTTTCCAGTTTGTATTTGCAATGTGGGACAATAGACGCTTTTATTGGGCAACAGCATTTAAGCTGCCTTTTTTTTTATAAAAGATTACAATTCACTTGTAATGTTACAAGGGGACAAACTGATGTATTTTACCAATAGGCACAGCTGCAGAGACACGGATGTGGAGAGTATGTTTTATAACTTCAGTGCTCGAGTTGAATTTTTGCTGCAAAGGAACATCATCTAGTATCACAAAAGCATTGTAAAACTGCGTACATTAATGGCTTACTTTGAATTTCCGAGAGCCTTGATGGAAATTATTGAAGAGTTACTAAGCGGAAACTTTAGTATTCTGCGTTTTTAATTGGTCTTTGCGGTTTTTTTTTTCTTATATGCCCAAAGAGCGGACTTACCTAGATTTGGGTCGCAATGCTTCGAATACATGGTCCGATTTATCACATCAGGATATCATGCATGAATCTTTCTGCCTATGAGGAGGTTCAAATCCCGCGAACGGGCTGGCTGCATGGGTGTTTTCGTGGTTTTCCCCATGTGTAACGTGTCTGCGAGCCAGTTCCCTTAAAAAGTCCTCCACGAAGGCAACCCCCTTAAGGCAGATAGCCCTCGAGTGCTTTGCCGTAATCTAATAAACCGAAACCTTTCTGCCTATGAAAGCAGACAATATGCTTAGTTACGCATTATGAAGTTTACCACAGTGAAACAATAAATGCTATTTTATTTTTAATACATATTATTCTAGTATTATAATATCAAATAAATTAGTTTTGCCACATACGTAAAATGGTATTTGAAACATTTAAACTTTAACCAAATATGAATACTGATGGATTCCATCTAAGTCTCATGGTGGAAATGTGTACGTAACATATACACTGAAGTGACATGGGATACCTCCTAATATTTTGTCGGTCCTCATGTTTACCTCATGGGATACCTCCTAATATTTTGTCGGTCCTCCTTTTAACCGGCGAAGTGCAGCAACTCGACGTGGCATGGACTCAACAAGTCCCCTGCAGGAATATTGAGCCATGCTGCCTCTATAGACGTCCATAACTGTGAAAGTGTTGACGGTGCAGGGTTTTGGGCACGAACGGACCTCTCGATGATGTCCCATAAATGTTCGCTGGGATTCATGTCGGGCGATCTAGGTGGCCAGATCATTCGCTGGAATTGTTCAGAATATTATTCTAACCAATCGCGAACAATTGTGGCCCGGTGACATGGCGCATCGTCATCCATAAAAATCCCATCGTTGTGAGTACGTGAAGTCCATGAATGGCTGTAGGTGATCTCCAAGTAGCTGAAGGTATCCATTTCCAGTCAATGATCGGTTCCGTTGCACCAGAGAACCGAGTCCATGCCATGTAAAAACAGTCCAGACCATTATGGAACCACCACCAGCTTGAACAGTGCCTTGTTGACAACTTGGGTCCATGGCTTCGTGGGGTCTGCGCCACACTCGAACCCTACCATCAGCTCTTACCAACTGAAATCGTGACTCATCTGACCAAGCTACGGTTTTGCATTCATTTAGGGACCAATCGATATGCTCACGAGCCCACGAGAGTCGCTGCAGGCGATGTCGTGCTGTCAGTAAAGGCACTCGAGTCGGTCTTCTGCTGGCATAGCCCAAGGAAGACAAATTTCGCCGCACTGTCCTATCGGACCGTCCCACATTGATTTCTGTGGTTATTTGACGCAGTGTTGCTTGTCTGTGAACATTGACAACTCTACGCAGACGTCACTGGTCTCGGTCGTTAAGTGCAGGTGGTCGGCCACTGCGCTGTCCATGGTGGGATGTTATGCTTGAAATTAGATAATCTCGGCACACTCTTGACACTGTGGATCTCGGAATGTTGAATTCCCTAATGATATCCGAAATGGAATGACCCATGCGTCTAGCTCCAACTACCATTCCCCGTTCAAAGTCTGTTAATTCTCGTCGTGCGGCCATAATCACGTCAAAGCCTCTTCACATGAATAACTTGAACACAAATGAAAGCCCTGCCAAAGCACTTCGCGTTTATACATTTTCTACACGATACTACTGCCATCTGTATACTTGCTTATTGCTGTCCCATGACTTTTGTCACTGCAGTGTATATTGGGATCGACAGAATCTCGTAAGTATAACAATATTTTTATCAATGCATTTTGGTAGCATAATTAATACTCTTAAATAGGATTATTGCTTTTATTTAAAAATAGACGTATTGAGGTGCATATAAGTTCTGTCCTCGATAAGCAGCACATGGATATGAACTATTTGTTACCAGTAGACTTAGTTTCTACATGGAGCTCTCATAATTAAGCTCTGTAATTCTTGCCATTACCATGCCAATGTACCAATGTGGGGTTTGCAGAATACAACCCCTACTTGGCATTACGGTGACTTTTCTCACTGTCCTCCGCTCTTTCACTGCGGATTCTGCATTAATCCACTGGCTTGGTTTTTGGCACCGATACATGAGGCAAATATCATGACGTCACGGTTGATGATAGAAGAAAATGCACTTAATATTTCCATTAAAAATAATAAAATATACATGATACTTTTTTGATAAACAAAAGAGGTCATAAGTGAAACTTGGTGCGTATTCACATGAAAACCAGTTTAATACCATGCCAGACCAATAACCGACGTTCCATGCCAGTTGAAGATTAAAAACATTAAATAATATGATCCTTACGTCTTTCAATACAATTTCCTAATTTTTTATTTTTTACTATAATTGGAAGAACATATATCACAAATGAATCACATTGTTCATTTCACTCAATGTATGATCCATCTTTTTAAGAATAACTCTCAATGAAACTCTATTTAAAATATTTATTTATTCTCTTTCAATTATCTCCTAGGAAAACGATCCTGTCCCGGAGTACCACTGGCAGAAATGGAGGTATTCATATACTTAACAGCAATACTACAAAAATTCGATGTCTTCATGCCAGCTGGAAAAGTACCGGATCTTGAAGGTTTCCTAGGATTAACATTTCAACCTAAAAAACAAGAATTTATTTTCAAATTAAGGCAGTAAAGTTATTTGTGCCTCAAACATTCGGCTAAGAATCCCGGTTTTATCAAGTAGAGTACAAGCATGAAAATCCTAGATTATATGGGACAGATATTCCAAGAGCTGCCATTACAATGGTTCCGGAAAGCATTTAACTTATTTTATTAAAATAGTGAGGAAAATCATTTTATTGGAATAAAAGCCTTTATTTTGTTTTTTGTTTCTCTTGTATACTCAAATATATAAATGTAGATGCATTTAATATGTTAAAAATTTCCTAATAACTGATTTTTTTAGTAACATCGTTATCCATAACTACGTTTTATTATCTAGAATATACAGCTTTTGTAATGGAATGCACTGTGGCCAGACATTGCTGAAAGGTTACTAGATGGTATTACTAGATGTTATGCTGTGACCATGCAAACTGTCGCTAATTCCGGAGTCCTTCATATTTCATCATTACGAATCATATTTGGATTGACACTTTAATTGTTACAATATTGCTTTAAATATCCAATAAAACGGAACTAGTGATTTTCATTTACATCACGCGTTCTTTCGCAACCTGTAAGTGGACGTTCACTTTCAAAAGCTGACGCTAAGAACAGAATCTTATTACACTTGTTATCTAAAACTATGTAGCCATGATATCCTCTAAGCGGATCAACAGAGATGTCGGAAATCCAGAAATGGTTCCATTAGATGGATGCCAACTTAAAATGTTGTTAACTTAATGGAAAAGCTTAGATATACCGCATAATTAGGCTGAATTAAATATAGGTCAGATCATAAGAGTCAAAGAAAACATACCAATCGAACAAGTGACATCATTATGAAATATCATAAAAATCACAATTTTATTAGAGTCCCCGTAGTCTGAATGCTGTGTAAATTCACATGTGCAATGGGATTAAACTGAAGGATACCTTGCCTCAAGAATAAATGTTCAACAACTATTCAACTTCTTGTAGAATCAATGTATCATTTTGCAGCACAATGCTTGGATGCATATCTCGCAATCTGTGATTATTTAATTTGCTCAATAGGGCTAGGAAGTGCTCTACCGTCCAAGACCCTCCTGAGGCTTAAGCACCTGTCTTTATGATTTGATTACTAAGATGAGAGAGCCAATTGTGGCAATCGTTTCGAAATTATGCCAAACATATTTCAAACAGTAGACTGCTCCACTCTAACCTTTAACAGAATAGGGAATGATACAGATAGTCTACGACTCCTACATTGCAGGCAATGAGTTGCACACCGCTCATGAAAACATGGCAGGTGAGTAAACATTTCAGAACGATTTTGAATAAACTACAAGTAAACAAATAATATTTAAAACCATTGAAATTCAAACCCTTGTACTTAGGGAAAAGAATAATGTCTAAGAATTGTGAATATTCCAGTTTTTACAAATGATGTATTTATATAGATCCAGAAGCTTAGAATGACAAAAGAAAGGGATTGAATTTTATTCAATAAATATTTTATTTTTCCACATAATTATGTCGATTATCAATGCATTTAATCCTAACTTTCTGCGACTTCTGGATTCTTTCCTGGAACTACTTTTGTTTGAGCTTTACAAACTGTCCAATGGCAGCCTTATTCATGTGACAAATGAGGGAAACAAATCAGATGAACAAGGAAAATGTAGAAGAATATCGAACTTCAAATTTGATTACTTTTATAGGAAGACTGTACTTGAATGATTAGATGGTGAAACAATACATTTTTTTACAGTTCCTAAATGTTTTTCTCAGTTGCTGCTTTCAGAATGAATAAACATTGTGAATATGCTGGCCAACAGCAGGTTTTTTTATTCGGTGAGCAGCTGTGGACCAAGTCTCATCTATCATAACAAATCGCCTAGTAAAATCTTACAATCTGAGGGTTTCCTGCTAAAAATTTATAAACATTCACCAAAAATTCCTGTTCAAATACTCAGGATTGAGAAACTGAAGAACTCATTTTTATAAAATAGTTTCAAGATACATTCTTCGTGAAAAATAACAACAATTTATTCATAAGAGTACCATGCGATTTCTTCAGTGATGTATAAAACCATATCAAAGATTTTTATCCCTTTTTTCTGACATAATAGATATCTCTGGAGATCGTATTATGTTAGTACAGCCAAGTTGAAATCCCCACGTCCAAAATTTTCGTGTAGGAAATGATTGATTTGATTTGCCAAAAATAACATCCAATTTAGATTTGATTTACATCATTTTTTTCCTTCGAAATGAAAACATTTTCCATTATTTGAACTTCGTTCTTATGCATAAATGAAAACCTTAAAATTGTTTTACTTTTTTTTGATAAGAGCAAACAATTTGATAATTAGATTAGAAATTTTCGTTCAGTTCAAATGAAAGTATTGTGTAAAAAAATTATTTAGCTAAAATTAATATCAAATGACATTCTCGGAAGCTTTTTACTCTACTATGTTAGCCGAGGCTCTCAGCTAATGCAAGAAAAATTGTTAAGTTTGAAAGTTATATCCTACGCTTACAACAGTTATTTTTAAGTTCGTCACACTTTCCTATCTCTTCTAATTTCAGCCTACGATTTCTTACCAGAATGAGTTTTAGAGTCGCGTTAAATGCAAATGAGAAGGAGTAGTATTTAAGTCGAAGTTCCACTGACTTCGAGAGAGAGAAATTTTCTGAATAGAGCGCATTTGCCTTTTGGTTCGTCTCTTTAAATTGTTACTAAGCTCGGCTGTATTACATGCTCTTGATAGCTTCGCTAGCTAATTAAATATTAGGAGCCAACTAGTTAGAAATTGTGTTAGTTTCGGCTAAATCTCTTTAATTAGTCATTAGTTAAGTTCTTATTTCTTACAATTTTGAGATTAAGCCCAAGTGGAGGCTTTGTTGTACGTCCTGAGGCAGGGACCGTCTGTATAACTTTATTTACAGCAAATGAAGGGTAATTTACCCTTCTTGAGGTTTACGCTTCTGTTTCTGGACTTAAGCGATTATTCGCTTAGTAGTTCACTAGGTTTCTTCACACTTAGTTAATAGATAAAAGGGAGGAGTCCTACAAATTTAATACATCTTATTCTAATCAGAAGGCTGTTAGCAGTAGCGCTGTGCTATGTATGTTGTGCAATTGAGCCAACCAGTTATTTACTCTAGCACTGAAAACTTCTGATTAATTAAATTTAGTATATTTTGAAAGGAACTGAAGTCATTTCATCTGCTGTCGTGGTGAAACATGTCAGTAGGTCATTTCGTAACATGTCAATACGTCATCCCATTAACCTGAAATTTCGAGTTCGATTCCGAAAAAATTAACTGTCTATTTCCTTAGAAGACAGTTAATTTTTGCAGTTTGCAGTTTCTTCTAACTGAAACTCCTATCCTTACAAAACTAAGAATTAAAATATCAAACTGAATCAGTTTAATGTTCACCAGTGGCCGAATACTGACAGTTCAACCCGAGTTCAAATCCTAATGAACGAAATGTTTGCATGAAATGTTTCAAGTTTTTCCACATTTAAAGTAAACACGAGCTGGTCTTCCTTAAAACGAAGGCATCCGTTCGCTTAGAAAACTAACCTTTGTGAGCTTTGCTGTAATTCAAAAATCCAGTTTAATCCAACATGCAACCGTAATATTTGCAACTATGAAATGGAAAACACAGCATACTGTGAGATACAAATCTTATAAGGTGTCGGTTACTTTAGACTAAAGATACTCATTAAATCAGATAAATGAGACGGTCGCTTGAAATTGACAGACAAGAAGTTTCTTTAAAGGCATAAACATTTTATTTCAATTGTTTTCAACAAACCGCTTCATTACAAACTCATTTCTATTTTTAAAATCTTTAAACTACTGCTCTAATTATAATCTCGCGATGAACTGAGGCGTTGCTACTCTTTTTCAAACAAACTATTAACTGAGGTAATTTACGAGGGTTGGAACTTTAATGGTGGCAACACAGCTGAAAAAACGCTACGCAACAAAACCAAAGAATATTGCGTATACCACACGTGAACTACATACCTACCTTACCTCTCAGCAAAAAGACTCGTCCTGCCTACGTCACGCACATGCGGAGTGGCGTAAAGAATGGATCCTTGTATTAGCTCGCGGTCTAAAGTAAGTGTTGTCAGGATGTTTTCAAAACAAGAACAATGATCTTGGATAAAAATTGAATGTGCCAGAGGTCGTACAGCACGACAGTGTCATCAAGGGCTGCTGCTTCAAGAGGCTAGCGGGGAATCTGCATTGCCTTACAGAACCCTAGCAAGATGGGTGAAAGCATTCAATGAAGGATGCCAAAACGTGGCAGACATGCTGCGGCCAGGTCGTCCAAGTTTCAGCGATGCAGACGTGCAAGCTGTTGCCGCACTAATGGACAGTGATCGCCGCAAAACGATTCGTCAGCTGGCCGGACAAACAGGATTAGCGCATACGACTGTACTGCACATTCTGAAGGAACGCCTGTCCATGAGAAAAATTGCTTCACGATGGGTTCCACATCAATTGACGGAAATGCAGAAATGGCTACGATACTTAGTATAAGTGGGCGCAACATAAGGCGCATTTAAGGTAGTAAGTGAGTGGGTTGCAATAGTGACTGTTGCTTGAGTAAATACTGAGCACAAACCGGCTTGACCGCTGACAAATAGTTGTAGGGTTTTACTTGTGTAAAATCTTAACAATTAATGAAATTAGTCCTGCAGACTCTACTAGAGTGACAAAGGAGTTATCGCTCCAGTCTGAACTTAAAAACACAGAGTCTTATGAAGGCTAAACTAACCTTTTTGTTTAAAAGAAGCCACTACTTGTACGTACAAACAAAATTTCGCCATTTGTGCATATTTAAGATAACACAATTGGAATTGAAATTCAAGTAACGTAGTCAAAGACTGCACAAAATTGTCTAATTTTAAGCATGCTCAAGTATTTTAAATGGCGTGATTTTAACATCGGCTAGCAGAATGTCATTGACCTGAATAATCTCTGGCAGAGCTAGCGAAAGCTAATTGCAAGCAAGGCTGCCAAAAGCTCCAAATCCAAAACATTAAAAACCCTCGAATTAAATATTCTTACAATTAATATGCATTCTAGTGAGGTCTAAGGAAAGAAGAAGTTAAAATAAAGTTTAAATCATAATAATTAATTAACATAAAATCTATATGTAGTGTTGTAG